GACAGTTTGCATTTAAGAGGGTTATTTTGACAGTTTATGTGTCGATCTCGTTGCGAGTCGTTCGCTTCGACTTGCGGTTTTTCGACAGTTTGTATTTAAGAGGGTCATTTTGACAGTTTATGTTACGTGTATGAAGAAGGAGAAGAAAGGGAAGATAGAGAAAGGAGGAGGAAGAAACGATAAAGGAAAAAAAAGGTATGTATTATAACTAGCAAATCAAATATTTCAATTTGTGCAAATTATTTTTCTCCGTGTGTGTATGTTAAAAGTATGTTAATAGCATTTATTTATTTATTTCACTAATTATCTTTTTGTCTCATATTTTCAAGTACCAGCTTTGTCGTCCACTTTGCAGTCTTTATCAAATATCTGCTTATATATGTGTGCTTTATATTATCCATGAATTTTTATACCGTTTTCAATCCTGCACACCGTTACTTCGGTCTTACAGTTTTTCTTTCGGTGGAACATTATCGTCATCAAGTTCACATATTTTTAAATCGATAAGCGATTTAAATATTTAGATGCTTACTCAATCATCTAAAATCTAGCATTTAATACAATAAATATTCTAGGATCTAAATATTGAAATTGTTTATATTGATTCAAAGATATGTGAATTTGATGACGATAATGTTCCACCAAAAAAAAACTGTTATAAGTAACGGCGAAAGTAACGCTGCGCAGAATGGATTGGAAACGGTACAAAAATTTACACCTAAAACCATTGGACTATTTTGCTCTTGGACCGTTTTGGCTAACTTACTTCTTACTTTATTATAGCTTATAATATTAATATATTATAATTTCACTAATAGCTTTATCGCTTCTAATGGTTACTTTTTTTACAGTAAACAGTATCAGACGTGATAGTAGCAGCATAGAAATTGTAAATTGCGAAAACATGAGTTTTCAGAGCAGATCGTCAGGACGATATCGACATCACAGTCGATCCCGAACTCCATGGCACAAAGATAGAGACAGAGATTGAGATGGAGATAGAAAATTCAAGCAAATCAAGACGAAGAAGGTAATAATTAGACTTAAATTTACAATAAATATTCTAAGATCTAAATATTGAAATTGTTTATTGATTTAAAGATATGTGAATTTTATGACGATAATGTCCCCCCCCCCCCAAAAAACTGTTATAAGTAACGGCGAAAGTAATGCTGCGTAGAATGGATTGGAAACGGTACAAAAATTTACACAAACCATTGGACTATTTTGCTCTCGGACCGTTTTGGCTATCTTACTTCTTACTCTATTATAATTTCACTAATAGCTTTATCGCTTCTAATGGTTACTTTTTTTACAGTACACAGTATCAGACGTGATAGTAGCAGCATAGAAATTGTGAATTACGAAAACATGAGTTTTCAGAGCAGATCGCCAGAACGATATCGACATCACAATCGATCCCGAACTCCATGGCACAGAGATAGAGACAGAGATCGAGATAGAGATAGAAAATTCCGATCTAAAAGCAGATCAAGACGAAGAAGGTAATAATTAGACTTAAATTTCCGCATACATTATAAATTATATACCGATATGTGAGGAAACTCAATAACTCTTTCACTGACAGATTTTTTAGAACATTCTTACATGAAAATCTTTATGTAAAAGCGTCGAGGTTATTATAGTGCTTAAATAAATGAAAACACTTATAGTTGACTATTTAGTTTGTGGAAACTTTGCGTGTTGAGGCATGGAATATTGTGAAGGTGCTGCTTTTTAAAGCAATTCCTATGTCATAATTGGAATTGTCACCCTG